ATGGTGTGTGCCTATCCAGCACAGTGAGCTGCATTCCTTGCCTTGCTTTTGGAGTTGGGAACCAGATTAGGGAAAGTGAAGAAGGTTGAACATAGGTCCTGCCAGGTTCAGTTGAAGAACTAGTTTCCAACTACTTTATTATTTACCAATTATTAATGCAAGGACTGACTATATGCTTGTCTGTTTACAATAGGTTAGATGGCAGATAGTCCTAAAGCAGAGGGAAAGAAGGAAGGATTCTCCATCTCTTCCTTTGCTGGGCTGTGTTAGGACTCCTACACAGATTGTAAACACTGTGCAGCAGGGACCATCTTTGTTTTGAGCACTTAGCACAATGCAATGCAAGGAATGCAGCTCTCTGCTCTGTTTAGGCATTCATCATGTCCGGAAGTGCAGCAGGACAAATACAGAGTCCCCATTTTAGCTTCCCTTGCATCCTTCTAATCTATATAGCTGGTCCATGCCTAGGGCTCCTAATTCATAATAATTAACAGCTCTGGGGCTCAAGAGAGAGCAAGAGCTGCATGTCAGATGCTCCTCCTGAGAGAAAGTGGACAAATGGAACCATGCAATGGAATGCCTTAGGTTGCAAATATTCCCCACCAACACCTGTTTCTGTGAGGCAGTGCCTCCAGTGTTCTTGCTGAAGTGGTGCACTTTCATCTTGTACTGCGGGCTCTGTGTACAAGCACAAAGTCACCTCATAGTTGCAATTTAGTCCACATGATTTTGTGTACATGATCAACCTTCCCATGTGTTAGAGGCTTTGCATTTGTACACTGGGCACACACTAAAAGGTGCCCGCGTTTGAGATTTTAAAATACATTTCACTCCCTCTTTCAAAGGATACAAATACATAATAGGTCATTTCAAACGTGTGGCTATCAAAAATAATTGTAGAAGTCAAAATATCATCATTACCCTGGGAGTATTAAAAATGCATAAGCCCTGGTGGAGAGGGCGGAAAAGGGACTGACTGATGGAGTTTCTTAATCCATCTGACACATGCTGATGCTTTTCTTCCATCATTAGTTTATTTCTGACCTGTGGGCTTTGTGTACCCAGACTGGATTTTAGCTATTGCTCTGAAAGTATTTCACATTTTGAAGAGTACATAGGAAGGGGAACTGAACTGCTCTGTGGATTGCTTATGGCCTATAGAATTGTCAGAACCAACCTTTGCATTTTGCCTGCACAACAATTTTTCCAACATAAGTGATTCCTGCTCACTGAGATCACATCTCTCTGTATAGGGCTTGCCTGAGACTCTGGAGAGGGTAGGTGAGATGTTTCTTTGGGTTACAAAAACATGTAACTGACACTGTAGACATGACAGTGTGTATGAGTGTATTTCTGTAAAGGTGTCTCTCAGCATGCACACAGCTTCCTGCTGTGGAACTGGAGCCCAGCTGCCTGTGCGTGGTTGGAGTCCTGAAGGATTGCAAATATGTTTTAAAAAAGGTTTGAAAGGGACGGTTGTCAGGTAAGTTGATGGTTCGGGGGACACCAAACCCCTAGCTTGGGACCTGTTGAGTACATGCATTCTGGTGATTCCTACCTCTTTATTTTTTCATATATAAGCTTTTTATGACACTCTTCCCCAGAGTATGAGTGCCTCACAAACACTGAGGGATTTAGCCTGGCAACCCCCAGGTGAGGCAGAGAAGGATTTTAATATCTACCGTGCAGGTAGAACCTGAGACTCTCGTGAAATGAGTGACAAAATTCCCATTGGCTGCAAAAGAATAGGATCAAGCCCTTAGTGGCTTGTCTGAAGTCACACAGGACATGAGTGACTGAGGCAGGAACAGAACTGTTTCTATCTCTGGTTTCTTAGGCCAGGTCTACACTGGACCTGGAAGGTCAGTTTACAGTGTGCAATTCCAGCTATGCAAAATACGTAGCTGGAGTTGGCTTGCCTTTTAGACAAGCCTTGCCATCGTCCACACTCCTGGAAGCTGACGGAAACAAATGCTCTTGTAGACTTCCCTTACTCCTTGCAGAAGGAGTACCGGTGGGAGCTGCCTTCAGCATTCTGTTTACAGGTCTACATTAGACCTGCTATATTGAATGCCAGAAGATCGACCACCAGAGCGTTGATCATCTGGTAAGTATAGATGTGCCTTTACATTGACCCCGTCAGTTACTGAAGTAGATGTGTGCTTCCTAAGAGCAGGAACGGAAGTGATAGACAGGAGGGAGGTATTGTCAACAATTACGGAATGTAAAGATGTTTGTGTCAAGCAGGCTAATGAGTGTTGCATTTAACTTGGAAAGTGGGAACCTTAATGATCATTTTTGTTTCCTTTGCTAGTAATTTCCATAGTCTTGCTCCAGCAATAGGGAAGCTAAGGCAGAAAGATTACTGTCTTGACCAAGCTCACTGAGGATTGGAATCAGGAGCGGCCCTAGACGAGCTGCCAGCAACTGGCGCTCTAGGCAAAATGTGCGATTGGCGCCCCCGCCTCCAAAGCCCTCAACGGCCATTTATCTTGGCGCCCTAGGTGACAGCCTAGTTCGCCTGCATTGATGGGCCACCACTGATTGGAATTAGAACCAGGATTATGAGGTAGAAGTCATTTGTTCTTAGCTCTGTAGCTTATCCACTAGACTGCACTGACTGAGCTGTGCTTCCTAATGACAGACATCACACTGACTGCTGACCATTGGAACCCATCCGGCTGGCTCAGAAAGTGCTTACTTGTCCATAGGGCTATCAGGGGTAGTTTTAATGGCTGTGAACTGTTCTTGGATACTCCCTCGTAATGAGGGACCTTTTCATAAACTCCAAAAGCCAAGCAATTGTGATCGTCAGGCAAACCGGGATCAGATTTTTCAATCCTCGTGAGGCCAGTGTATGTTTTCAAGTCTGGTTTTGTGAGGAGTTGGGGTTGGGATGGGGAAGCAACAGATGTATCTTTTTAGAACTAAAGCTGATTGCTCCTAGGCTCCTCCTGAATTAAGGGGAACCAGAATTTAGGGGTTTCAGGAAGCTCAATGGCCAATTTTAACAAGGTACTAAGAACTGACACTTGTTACCTCTAAAACTGTGCACTGTCCAAGCCGCAAAATCATCACCACACTGGACTCTTTCTCGGTAGCTGAAGCAGACAGGATGACGCTTTAATAGGGAAAAGCTGTTACTTCACTCAGGCTACGTCTACACTGGCCAGTCTTGCGCAAGAACATATGCAAAGGAGGTGTGGCGATGAATATTGCCGTGCCTCATTTGCATATTTTTTTGCACACTTATTTTCAGGCAGAGCGGCTCTTGCGCAAGAGGGGGGTTTTGCGCAAGAAGAAGCAGTGTAGACTGCTCCTTCTTGTGCAAAATGGTGGCTCATTAAGTATGCAAATGAGGTTCGGTGATATTCATCGCCATGCCTCTTTTGCATATGTTCTTGCGGTCGACTGGCCAGTTTAGACGTAGCCCTAGATAGGCTCTCTCTGGGTCAGTGTTGAACTGTATTGGTTGGATTGCATGGGGGAAGCTTGCACTGCTGCTGTCTTTTGTACCACAGATAAACAGAGAATATCCTTCTCCAAATATACAGACAGAGAGAGAATGGAGGGGAGGGAGGGAAATATATGGTAAACTAAGAATGCTCAGATTCTCACTTTGGCCTCTAATTTCACCAGTTGGGAACTGGTCTTTGAACACCCGGTGGGGACCTCTGCAGATCCTGGACTCTGTCATTATCTCTGCCCCCCAGGGCCTCTCAGCTCGAATTGCCACATTTTGTTCTTCTTGATCAATTTGAGACTGACACAAAATGGAAATGCAATGCCACCTGACCCAGACAACTGATAATGGCTGGGAAAATTGTACATTCATGCCCGTAACCATACTTACGAGATGCAAGGAAATGCAACTTAACCTGCCACAATCCCAATTATTTTTCACTCCAGAAATCTTGTAACCTGGCATGGGAGACTGTAGTGATAGCTTTAATATTCTTGCACATAACACATAAAGTCTTCTGTGCCCCCGAGTAATCTGTTAAGACAAACCCAGAGTGATAATGGAATTCGTGCAGAGCCCCTATACAGGTGTTCCCAGTGACAGCTTCCACATGTGCAGAACCCCAACCCGTGAAACTCCAATGAGCCTCCCAAAGGAGGAGGACTCGGCCATGATAGGAATTTGACCTTTGTTTGCTTTTTCCGGTGGAACTGGTCTTTGATTCACTACAGCTACTGTTGGGCCCTGACCAACTCTGCTTGCCTTATTAAGGGCTTGGCAAGCCTGGAAAAGGAATCATGGGAGTTTGACTCCAAGTACCACTTTCAGTCAATTCCGGTTGGTAAATATCCCATGATGGGCTGCAAGAAACCCCTCAGAATACACTGGGTATAGCAGCAGAATATTGCAGGGTGGGATAAAACTTCCAGAATGCTGATTCAGGAGGGAAATAGGTGAAGTCAGCATAAACAAAGTGATGTGGTGGCATGGTTTCAGCATAGTTACACTAGTATAATTCCAGCAGAAAAACTTATATTAGAAACACTTTTCCAGGTGGGTAGGTCTTAAGGCTGACTCTGCTACTGAGCGTATTGATCCCCCTCTCCTTCTGATGCTGTCCTTATTAGAGGAAAACTCCCCAAAGGTCAGAGTAGTCTTCAGATGGATGCTGCACCCCAAATTATTGAACCCCCCTTCTCCCCTCCCCCCACACACTGATTTTGGGGGAGGGGGTTGTTTGTTTTGTTTTTGGTTTTTTTGCGGGTTAAATCGTCAAAAGATCAGAGCTCTGATTTCAGCATGTTAGTGCCCCAGGAGCACAGCTGTTCTGAAAACCTGTTTCCCTTTCGGGGTTTATCCCCACCCTCTCCTCCCCCCATACACCCACTTACCTGATTGTCTACACCCGCCTTGTTTCTTAAAGTAGCCGTGTTGCGGTCAACAGGTTCGCCGCCTGCAGTACTGGGGTTTGGCCTCACGATGGCGCCAACTGCCTGCAGACGCCACGCCAGCGGCGCTGAAACAAAGCGGCAGCTTGCCCTCCTTCCCTCTCCCGGCGAGGCGGTCAGGCCTCCCCAGGGGAAGGCATTAGCCATTGTCACGCGCCTCGCTCCATGCTCCCCGCGCTCAGCCGAGCTGGGCCCGGGCGAAGCTGGGGGAAGGGGGAAGCTCAGCTCGCAGATCAGCTCCGCCACAAGCTGGGAGAGCGACAATGGTGCTAAGAGCAGGGGGGCTGGAGCCGTTTTTATAATGGGGGTGCTGAGATCTGTTGAACCAAACTGTGTGTATAATGAAAGTCCCTTCGAACCAGAACACCCCCTGCACCCCTAGTTCCAGCACCAATGGCTAAGGGAGAGAAGAGCATAGGGCTAAGGGAAGGAAGAGAAATGGGGGGGCTGGGACAGAAGGGAGAAGTGTGAGTGGGGGAAAACTGCCTGGGTGTGCATAAGTTTGACTTGGGGCTAGGTTTAGGATTTGGCACCTATCAGTAGCATGTAAAACAGTGGTTAACCTTCCATCCAAAGGAATCAAAAGTATGGGGTCTTCCAAGCAGAAACTACCTTAACCCCTTTGAGCCTAGAGAGCATAATCTCCTAGGTCAATCTGGGGTACGGTATGGAACTACTCTGTCTCCATCACTACCCAGTTCCAGCCATGGTATATAACAACTGCATTGATATTATATAGCACTGCTCATCCCCAAAACAAGCCATCTCAACTGTTTCCTATTTATGTATTTTAGACCCTACAAAATTGGGTTTATTTATTTTAGACCCTACAACAAAGTTGCCGAGCTGCCTCCTTGGTTTCCACCCTTTTCACCTCCTTTTCCTGGCTGCATGGGCTGAAGTCCCCTGGGTGGCAGCCCCAGCTTCTCATTCATCATCATAACAACCGTTTAGTGTAAAATTAACAACAACTTAACTACTACAGCAATAAACATGGCCCTGCATTACTGCAGATTGATGAGGATTACTTAGTTACAATCAGCCAGTGTACTGACTGGAGAAAGTAAGAGTTTGCCAAATCAATGGCGTTCTTGCAAAATTTAAATTTTAACCTTCTAATTGCAGTGCTGATCCTCACCTGTATATTTTGCTGCTGTGTGTGTGTGATTTCTTCCCACCTAGAAAGTTTTATTGAGACACACTTTGCTTTGCAAAAAAATAAAAATAATTATTCTGATTTACCTAAATCTGTTTGTATGTGCATGTGCAATCCAATCTTTCCATAATCCCAAATCAGTTAAGCTTGGAAGCTTTTTTATTTTCTCTTCAGTGTGTTTGGAGTTTAATTATGCTATTTAACCTCCCAAAGCATTTAGAAATGGGACTCTCAACACATTGAACATCAATTCTGAAACAATATTGACAAAGAGAAAAAGGGAGAGGACAACAGACTAATTACTCCAGAATCAAACTAATGCAATTGGACTGGTATATGCCTCTCATTTCCCATGTAAACTCAGAAATGCTCATCATAAGAAATAAAGGACAAGGGGAAAATAGTTAAGCACACCTAGAGCTGCATCCAAACAAAAGAAGAAAGAGACTAAACAAACCCAAGGTTTTCTATTTCTCCCTGAGCCAAGTAATCCCTTTGATTACATCTAATACCTGCCAAAACCCAGATGGTATGCCCACCCATCTCACAGTGTGATAATGCCACATTGTGAAATCTACCCATTAATATTAATTGTCAGCTAGAGAATCTGTCTGAACTACTAAAGCTTGAGATTGCCTTGAGAAAGCAGGGCATGATTTAGCAGGGATTTCAAGATAATTCTCATTCTTCCATTCTGTATCTCACATATGTAGAATGTTAAATAATAGCCCTGGAATGCCTTTCTAATTTCTACAGATGTCTGCCTCTCCCAATCCTGGTCTTAAACTGCTGTACATTTGGGGGCCACACTGACTGACCAGAATATTATCTTGAATTGCTGTGGGCTTGCAGACTACATGTATGCACAGTGTATGCCATAGAGAGAATTCTAACTCACTGCTTGAATTGGATGTGCCCTAGCATGCAATGTGTGACTCTCTTTCTTTTTATTTTTATCACTTCCCAAATACCCTCTCAATAATTGACTGGGTAATCTTTGAAATGCATTATTGACACTCTCCCCCTCCCCCATTTATTATACACATCTTCAACTCTGGGTTTGAATGTGGGGGCAGGAAAAAGTGGGAGTACATGAGTGGGGTTGCCAGTTCAGGAGACAGAAAATACAGCAGTCCCTGTATTGATTCTCTGAAGCAAAAACAAGCAACAAATGAACCAAAAAACCACCCACCCATAAACCATAAAAGCTCTTGCTAGCTCATTTCATGCCTTGTTTTCAAAAGAAATCTGGCTAATAACATTACATTAGCCTTAGCACTATTAACACAAACTAATTTTCTGACTCCATCTTGTGTCAGAGGCAAATTGGCAACTTTTGCAGTGTAGATTTGCCAAAGGGAGTGGAGGATATATTTAGGTATACATGTTGGCTGTGTCTGCACTGGGCCACTTATTCCGGAAAATCAGCCGCTTTTCCGGAATAAGCTGCGAGCTGTCTACACTGGCCCTTGAATTTCCGGAAAAGCAACGATGCTCTACTGTACAAAATCAGCCGCTATTCCGGAAAAACTATTCTGCTCCCGCTCGGGCATAAGTCCTTATTCCGGAACACTGTTCCGGAAAAGGGCCAGTGTAGACAGCCCAGTAGTCTTTTCCGGAAAAAGCCGGCGATCGAGGCTCTTTTCCGGAAAAGCGCATCTACATTGGCCACAGACGCTTTTCCAGAAAAAGGGCTTTTCTGGAAAAGCAACCTGCCAATGTAGATACTCCTTTTCCGGAAAAACTGAAAACGGAATAGTATTCCGTTTTAAGCATTTCCAGAAATTCATACCAGTGTAGACACAGCCTTTAAGTGTATATACAGGCCCGTCAATGGGGGTGGTCAGAGAGGACAGTTGCCTTGGAGCCCAATGATTCAAAGGGTTCCAGGACTCCAGTCCACCACTGCTGCTACTGCAGCAGTACCTGGAATGCCAGGCCCTTTAAATCGCCGATGGAGCTCTGCATGCACTCTGAGGGCTGGGTGGTGCTGTGCTTCAAGGAACATGCAGGACTGGTTGCTCTGACCCCGTCCCTTCCACCTGAGGCCCTGCCCCTTCCAAGAGGGCAGAGCTGGCTCTCCCCACAGTGCCCAGGGGCCCATGGAGGCTGTCAGCTGTTCTGTGTATATTTCTATAGAGGTGTATCATGGGGAATATTTCCTTTATGATATCCCCCACACAAAAGCCCCTGGCTCATTCTTCTGCATGGAGCTGGACATGGTTTCCCGTGGAGCCCATGGCTGGTGTATCTGGTTCATTCATAGCTGCATGTTTCCTACCCCTCAGCGTTGGGCAGGCTACAATTAGCTCCTTCCAGTCCAGAAAACTCATGAGGGAGCACAGGGTTTATTTAGACTATTTGAAAATGCTTGTTACCTAACAAACAGATCAACTGCTCCTGGGCTGTAAATATGGGGCCTGATTCTGCTCTGATACACTGGCATAAATCCAGAGTAACAACACAGAAGTCAAAGGCATTACATCAGTGTAAAACAGGTATGAGATAAGAATAGGGTTCAACGAGCCGGCTTCTGCTGCTATTGAAGCTAATGGCAAGAGACCTATTGACATCAGTGTGAACAAGACACAGACTTAGAAATTCTAACTTGCAATGTTTCGTGTGTACGTGTGTTTTTGGCAATTGAAGGTTTAATCAAAAGGCTGCTCTTTTTTGCCTGTTATTTTTGGGTCCATCCTCCCAAGGGCCAGCCAGATGACATTTCGTGCTGCTTCTGATCAGATTTGTACCAGGAAGCAGTGTGACTTGGAGTGGCATGAAGCTCAGCATTGGGAACAGAACTCGAAAGATGTGTTTGGGATTTTGGGCATAAACAAATGTTTCCTAATCTGGACTGCAACTTAGTCAGGCATGTACTGACAAGTGAATGTCGATACGAGTTGAAAACCAGCGGGCCTGATTGTAGCATAACCTGTAAATCCACATCCAGACAAACACCCAGTGGTAGGCAAAGCTACTATCCCTGAGGAAAAAAGCTACCGCAGAAGTCAGCTCACAGAATCAGATCTTTTGAATATCACACACCTGTATTAACAGACTGCCATGTGTGCTAATTACTTCCCACGCTGTTGTTTAAGTCGAATCTTCTTTTTTGGGACCTTGCAGTATTTATGGGACACAGCTTTTTTGTCTCCTGAGAGTAACCATTCTCCTAAATCTCTTGTGATAAGGGCTCCATAGTGTTTGGGGTTATTCCTGCCTTTGCAGAATGGGAAGTTGCTCCTGTGTCCCCTCCCCCGCTTCCCCCTTTTCACAGGATCCCCATGATACTGCCAGAGGGAAGTAGGATGGCCTTGTCGCTTACAACTACCAGAGGAATCTGCAAGAAACTGAATACAGCTTGCTCAAATGACAAAGTTTTGCCAGGGCAAGTGCACGTGTGAATGCTGCTTTGTTGGAGTGCTCTGCTGCCAACAAAGCGAAACCCCCTCATTGGGGGAGTTAGTATTTTGTCGGCAAAAGTGCCGACAAAAAGCATTCACACATGCTGACTTTTAGCAACAGGGCTGTGTTGAGACAGCCTTGTCACTAAAAGCAGCATAGGGTGTAGACCTACCCTTAGAGAGAGCTTTCCAACAGAGCATATTCTGTGCTGGGAAAACAAACCTGTACCATAGGCAGTGAGTTCTAAGGGACCACGTTGCCTGGGAACCAGGAATATTCCTGGTCCAGGGCCCAGTGCCACTGAAGTTCTAGGCTGGGTTTCTTGGCCAGCCCCACTTGCCACCCCTGAGTGAACAGCCCCCATTGGCACCACCAACAGCGCAGTGGCGCTAGCGTGGCTTCCAGGCACATGAGCTGC